GGCTTGCTCAGGAGAGATTCCAGCGCCCCTAGTGATTAGCAGAGTGCCCACAGCGAGGCTATGTTCCTTCGGGTGGTGCACATTCATGCACACCTTGGTGCACATACAAATATATTCTGCACATGCACAGAAACACCAGGGGAACATTGGTGATAATGGCCAAGATCTTCAGACCTAGATACCGAAGTTAGGCTTTGAACTGAAGAGGCCTCCCTGACAACGGTTACAAATACACAAAGCTGCCACTGCCTTTGAGAGCACTCCTGAGAGAGGCACACTCACACGTTTTTTCCTGGACACTAGTTTAACGTGTTGGGGTACAAGCCATTCAGTGAGAAATAATCACAGGTTTGTATAGGTACCATGCAGGGTGTGAAATCAAGGAATATTGAAAATACATGTCCACGAAGCATGGGCATGTTACTGTGGTCTAGACTTTAGCTCTTGCTCACATGCACTATGCTCGGAAATGTATGCAGATGTGCACCTGCAAAAGAGAGCAAGACTGACCACTAACTTATTAACCATTGCAAAATCTATCCCAGGGGTTTAACTGAAAAATAAATGTGTGTATCTACTTACTGCATGGGCCATGGCCAAGTCTAGCTAATATTTTTACTTTCCCATCTTCAATCTTCAGAATCTTTCCATCAGCTGTGCCAGTAAACAGCACATCTGCAGAAACAAATGGCATGATTAGTTGGCTACAAAACTGCTGCAATATAGAAAATCTTTTTATAATGATGTAGCACTGAGCCCACATTCCTCCCACACAAAACGAATGCACTTTGAACACAAAATCTTCCCTATTTACTCGTCCTGCAACTGGAGAGAGAGGGGAAGGAGACAGGGCAATTCAAGCCCTCAAATAGCTTAGTTGGATTCAATCAATAAAAAGGAGGGTTTGAGTCTTAGAGCAGGTTGCTGGTTTGAATCCAACTATGAACACAAGTGATAGTTCTGTGGCCTCAACTCTGAGCATATTTCCAGAAAAAAGAACCAGAAGCCACCACATAAGTCACCCTTGTAGCAGTCTCAACAGGGATGCACCGAGTTTTCCTCTCATGCTAGAAATGGTTCCTTGGGGCCTAACACACAAGCAGGGATGTTTATACTGACACTGCTTGTGCCGTACGTGACCTGTGGAAAGAGTACCTCTGTCTAAGGGAGAGAGTAATCCAGCACTAAGTCATCCAAAACCCAAAATGTTGCAGAGTAAACATTTGGATGCCAAGTCACATGACAGCAATGGGACAAGTTAGCTCTTAATACACCATGATGAGCTAAAGCCCCTCTCTGAACTCTGCCAGGCTCTTACCCAACCATCGAAGAACTTTCAATTTGTAAGAGGAATCGTAAACTGTTTGGGCTTTTAACCTTCCACTTTAACTGCCTGGAATTGTAATGAGTTACACGAACTGTGAGGGGGGGAAACTATTTTGATTTTCAAGGAAGGAACAGCTTCTACTTCCCTAGAAAAGTTCTGAATTGCGGACAGGTCAGAGGTTTCACCAGTCTCGAGGCCAGTAATCTGCCTGCAACCACCACATACCCTCCCCTCCCCTTCCCCAACTGCCTGTCCCAGGTCACAATCCCCTCCCCAACATGATTTACATTTACAATTTACTGTCTGCAGGTTTTATCTTATTTAAATAAAGCTTAATACTCTGAGAAATGTAATGATCTAATCATATAGGTGGATATTGAAAAAGTGCTTTAACCATTGCAATCTAGTAAAAAAAAGTTACCCATGTGAACTGTCAGATCAGTAGCTTTTACGGCTAAAACCTTGACATCATTAAAGGCCATGGTCCAGAAGAGCAAGGATTTTTCATCAGAACTAAATGATTTACTTTTGGGAAGACAGCTACATGGTGATATGTAGCTCTAAGCTAATGGTTACCGACCCAAGACAACATTACAGTGCAGACACATGGAAGTCTGCACAACTGGTAGTCTAGAAATGTGCATCAAACTCTTAAAGAAGCAACTGTGAAAAAACTACCCTAAATCCCTATCGTTTCCCAGGGCTTACCACCAATATTGACAATAGATTCTGGTCCAACAAGTTGATTTTCAAATATCCTTTCTGCTTTTCGCAGCTTAGTATTTGGCTCTAATGCATCAGTCAGGAGGGGAGGGTCTTTGAAGCTGTAAAACCAAAATGCAGGTCTTATGATTATCACAGAACAGGTACAAAGTCAAATACTCGTGAGCAAGAAGCTGAGCAATTCTTCCAGCTTGCATACATGACAGCTGTTTGCGAAACCACATATTTCGTTTTCCTGACCACCAACAGCATTCTCTGAGGCAATGTATCAGCTCTAGCCTACATCAGCTCTTAGGAATTAAGAGAATTTTACAACACTAGTATCTCGATGTCCATTTAAATACAAGTCAGTTTCAAAAAGTGCAGTTCCATAGTCTTAACTAGTTGACGTTAAACTCAGTTCAGAGCTGCTACTTAGCTAGTTGATAGACTAATGTCCTAGCTGTGGCCCCAACCTTCAACCGGAGCCATGTGAATGGACACTTTAGCTCACACGGGTCTGAGTGTCGGTTTATTGCCTGGAGGAGACAATTCATCCTACATAATTATAGTCTATATTCTTGAACAAGCCTTAATTGACACAAACACCACACTTCAACCCTGATGCTGAGCTTACACCTGAGTAGTCTCATCACTAAGTGAGCATACACAGTTGTGCAACAGCTGCAATCTTGGCCAAAACCAGGATCTTAATGCTCCCTCTAATCTTTTCCATCTTTTATGTGCACAGAAGCAAGAGCGAATGTGCACCACCAGTAGAAACACACCCCTCGCTATGGGCGCTCTGCTAATCAGCTGGGTAGCATTTGAACCTCTCCTGAGCGGCTGCACACGGGCCCAGATTGCAGGGAGCACTGATCTTAGCCAGGTTCTCCACAGCTAACCGTCTCTGGGCTGAAGAGCTATGCTTTCTGACTGGGTCCATATCAGCCTCTGTGGATTGGGAACAGAGAGGACCATGTGACACTGACCAGTAGGTTACATTGACTCTCACGAATCAGCTGTCAAGGACTGGAGCCTATAAGCCTAGTAACACCCCTTATGGGATGATGCTTACTGGTTACCCAGTGGCCCAGCTGGGCTGCAGCAGCCCCTCACCTGCCCCACTTCCGCAGTTAACTGGTTAGATGGGATTTTACATCCCTAGTAAAAACTGGGAAGGGAAAGAATTTCTAGTTCTGTTTCAATAATCCAGACACGTTTAAGTACCCCATTAGCAGGACAGGGATCGTTTTGGCTGCGAGGGTTTTTCTTAACAATCCAGTGAACAAGTTACAAATATTCTGAGGCTCGCACTCTGCAACCTGAGCCATAGCAGGGACGCTGAAATGCATTTATTCAAGTCAACGTGTAACTGCTGTAGTGAGCAGTCGAGAACTGTGAAGCAGGACCTGGTGCTGGGGAAAGCCAGCTTTAAAGCCGGCTCCCCACAGCACTGTCTCCAGGCAGCAGCGTGGAGGCAAGGCAAGGGAGGCTGCCGTGAAGCAGCCCCTGCCCATGGGGGGGAGGGGGTAGATCCTAGCTCCCCACTGATACAGAGGCAGCAGTGCCGGGGGGAGGGCGCCCTGTGTGTAATTGCGTACACGGTTCCACTTTCACATCCCTTATCCAGAGGGGGTCTGTGATCAATATGGTTCCCCACCATCTTCAGTAAAACTTCACTCAGGGTTCCCTGCTGCAGATCCAACTGCGAGACCACAGCCGTGGGCTGTAGCGCTTTGGACAGAGACCCTGTCTCCGTCCGTACTGGTACAGTGCTTAGAGCAGCGCGCGCCAGCCCTGCTCCTGCACACCACTGCAGGACAGCACACAAAAAGAATAATAAATTAACTCTTCAAAGTAACACCCACCCCAGACTTGTGCCATTTCCCTGGGCCAGGTGGGAAGGGCTGCAGCTGAGATCCCCACAACACCCCACTTCAGTCACTGCAAGCGCCCTGGTGAGGACACACCACCCGTAGAAGGAAGGTGCATGGACACCAACAACTAACTAGATCGTCCTAGATTAAGCGACCTCATTTTGTAGTGCAGATAAGCCCACAGCAACTTCAGAAAAGTTGACCATTAACAGAGAATTAGTACGGAACCTTGCAATAAAATTCAGTTCCAACAGCTCACCTTAGAGGCTGAGGGTCTATTGGGCATTCCAGGAGAACTATTGCTCCAAGCAAGGGAATAATTATGGAGACAGCCAAAGTCAGGAAGGTCACCCGGAACACCCTGCTGCTGTACGCACTGCCACACACAAAACACACAGGTTAGCGTTCGATGTTAAACTCAACCAGGAGATTTTAAGAGCCTCTCGTTACACTATTTTGTTTTTGAAAAGCCAACTGCTTTCCCCTTTCACCCCCTCCCCTCACCACACACTTCTCTTTATGCCCAACATCTGCCACATCAGGCAGCCAGCGTCGTCTGTTTGCATACACCACTGTACGTATACACTGCCAGGGTTCATTTCTAGTGTATCGTAACTAGAGTACGTGGATAGATTACTGTCTGCCTTCTCAACGGACTGGGAATTCCCATTCCAGTAGCCAGTTCTGTTGCCCAGAGTAAGTTGCCTCCAGTAACTGGAACAAAAGCTATTGAAATATTTTAAAGAAACACTCACGTTAGTGAGAACGAGGGATGTAATGGAGCAGTCGACGACCCGATAAGCATAGTAGACCAGTCAGCTACTCGCATTCCACCCCTCCCCACTGCCTTTGCATCAGCCTCTTAAAAGCCCGTCTCCTCCCTCCTCCACCCCCCCTGCTCCCTCAATCAGAGGCTGGGAGAGGACATAGCTGCTGTGCAGAGAAGCCCCTGCCCCAGACCCGACTGAGCCAGACTGCCTTCCTGCCTGGCTCCTACTACATTTAGGAGGTAGGTAGGCAGGCAACCTGGCTCAGTCCCTGATCGAGCTGGGTCCAGGACCAAACCCCACTGCAGCTCTGCAATTTAAAATGCAGTAGGAGCCGGGGGGCAGGCTGCCCAGCTCCTACTGCCTTTTAAATTGCAGAGCTGCAGCGGGCCTTGGTCCTGCACCTAGCGCGAGCCAGAACTGAGCCAGGCTGCCTAACTGACTCATTGGGTAGTCGATAAAAATTCTATCGACTACTCGATTAGGTACCCGCATTTTAACATCCCTAGTGAGAATCACCTCCAAACTGATAAGGTAGGCTGAATATGAATAAAACCTTCAATTCATCCATACGCGACAACCATTAAAACATGAACAAGACATTGAATTCTAAGGTTGCAGGTCTAAAACTGAGGATGTGTGAACAGCAAGCCGATCCTGCTACCCAGAAAACAACACAGCACCTTCCCAAACCAGGCCGCAGAATTTCACCTTGGGAGTACCAGAGACCTCCAGTAGGTAAAGGCAGCCCATCTACTCACAGTAGCCTGTGCTCCCCGTCTTTGCCATGAGAACCGTGTTCCTCACTCTTGAAAAGATAGTGATCACGAGAGTTTGTTCTCTGGAAAAAATTCTTCCTTGGAATGTGAAGGTGTAAAAGCCAGGAGCCATCCCCGAATGTCAGAGAAAATTCAAGACTGAGTGAAGTTTCCTGGACATGACCTTGACAGGTCCCTCAAGACCCAAAAAATCCGTTGGATTCTCAACATTTACAACGGCCCAGCTATGAAGGAGAGTAGGTACAGCCTTTCAGTGCAGACACACCAGGGCCACAGAACCTTCCTCAGTGCAAACAGGGTCATCTCTTGGACGTGGTTCTTATATAAAATGGTTTGACTGAAACAATCCTAAAGACACTTAGGCTAAGCGTCCAGAGAAGAGAAATGCATGGATTTTTGGCATGCTTGAGTCTTGACTTGGAAATACAGCCACTGAGACTCTTAGCTGCTCTTTAAAACAGCCATTAATATGCCCCATCTCCTTGCAGTGTCAATTAAATCCACAGCAATAGAACTTGTGAGAGCATGCATAAATCCTTGATGAGCCAATCATCCAAAGAGTGGAGAAATGTGTCATCACCCTGTGTACAAACACCACTGTGACCAGTAGGCAATTAGCACATAGACAAATGGCTAACACCAGCCCATATCTTTAGGATTACACACACACACACACACAGCTCGACAATCTATGTAATCTACTCGCCTGTGACGAGTAGATTACAACCTGGAAGAGCCGGGTTCGGGTGATCTGCACATGCGCAGAACGATCTGCGCAGATAGCTGGACAGCGCAGCTGGCGAGCGGGGCTTGCTGCGACTCGGTGAGCCCTGTGTGTATAAAGTTTTCCTGCCATGCGTCATCAGCCTTTTTGAAAATGGAGTCTCATCGTCTTGCTTACTTGCACTTCAAGCAGAACTGACTGTGAAACTGAGATCTGTCTGTAACATATAGTACATGAGCAATAGACCAATTACACTGGTCTACAATTTTTTAGAAGTCGTCTGCTTCAGAGATAAAATGTGCTATTTATTATGTATTTTGATGTGCTGAATTCAAATATGACAATTAAAACAACTGATTGGCTACTGTTTCCAAGATATTTAAGTTTTTACATGTTACATCTATGCATATTGTAGATAGCAGAGTTTTAATCGTAAATGTGTTTATGGTTGCTTTACATGATAATATTTCACCTGTCCTGTTTATGTAACACTTTAAAAATCAGCAAAAGGGTTATATAAATAAAATGTATTATGAAACAAAAGGCAAAAACTATTATGTACATAGTTTAGTCCTATTCAGTGTCTACTCGGCACTTCTTGGCTTGTCTCTTGTTTTCATTAAATGGAACATCTCTTGTCACTGTCCAGCAATAGTCTGCAAGCATTGATGGGCTCCATTTGCCTTGATAGTGTTTCTCCATTGTTGCAATGTCCTGGTGTAGCCAGACAGACCGCCCCCCTCTCCCCCCCCCACATCCATCTTACTTGCCTCTCTGAGGTTCATGAGGCATACAGGGCAGAGAAGGAACAATAAAATCGCCAGACAGACCGCCCCCCTCTCCCCCCCCCACATCCATCTTACTTGCCTCTCTGAGGTTCATGAGGCATACAGGGCAGAGAAGGAACAATAAAATCAGCATAGTCTATGCTGGCTCATCTGATCCCGAGAAGCTGAAAACATAGATATGAGGAGAGAGCGATTAAGGCAATAAGCTGGCCTCGAGGCTGCAAGAACTGCCCCGGCTGGCACCCATGTTGATACGATCACACACAGTCATCCCTGGGAGAGGAATCTCCCACTGAGAAAAGAATCCCCAGTACTTCCAATTTAGTTCTCTCTCTTACAAGTGTAAATTAAGTTCACAACTCCCTTGTAAGAACTGGTCTTACAAAAGACAGACCAGCACCATTTGGCATTACAGATAAGAAAGAGAAATACGTGACCCCATGGGTATAAAGATGGGTCCAGCAGCACACTCACTTTGAGTGTCAGTCTACCCTCTACCTGATGGTCGGGTTAGGTGTTTGACCTCCCGAGGTTCCATGGGGACGCCCACCTCGTATTTTTGTCTTTCCTAGGAATTGAGGGACCGGCCCCGGCTTGACACGCTGGAGTCGAGAGGCACAGAAGGGGGTAAAAATTGTACCTGGATGTAGTCCTTTGTCTTAAGTGTACACATAGACTTAGAGCTCTTTAAAGATTAAGTTGTCACTTGGTACCATTATTTCTATTTTCTATCTTTATTTTCTTTGTAACCATTTTTAAGATCTAGCAGTTAAGAAAGAGAGCAATAGCCATTGTAACCATATGATTTATAAGCTTCCTTAATAAACCTGTAACTGTTTAAGCTTTAACCTGACTCCTTCAGTTGCTGTAACAGAACCAAGCACAATTTAAAAGAACTTCAGCCTGTCATAAGGGACAGGTATAGGAAGAGCTTGGGCATTTGGATTGGGTCACTCCCAGGTGACAGATCCGTTGGGGCATCTCTCAGTCTTCCCTAGACTGCCTGCTGCGAAGGGATCTTGTATTCTAGCAGCTAAAATCTGAGATGTAATAGGCTCTTCCTATAAACCCAGGGCGTCTGTCAGCCTGTCGGCTGCCTTCTGTGACGAGACTCTGGTCCTAGCAGTAAAGTCACGGACGTTAAACCTTTTTCTCGGTAACACACACACACACACACACATCCTGCCCGTCGGCTGACACCTGGTGAAATCGCTCGCTGTGCTCGTCGCTCACTGCTCTGCAGTTCAGTGGAAAAAAAAATCTAGATGAGAGTGCAAAAAATGTATCTTTAGTGACATGCTGCAACCAAGGCTTTTGTATGCCTTGGGGAGGTTTTCCACCAACAACCTGTAGTTGTCTGCCTTGTTGTTTCTGAGAAAATTTATTGCCACTAACTGGAAGGCTTTCCATGCCGTCTTTTCTTTGCCACGCAGTGCATGGTCAAATGCATCATCTCGAAGAAGTTCATGAATCTGAAGACCAACAAAGACACCTTCCTTTATCTTAGCTTCACTTAACCTTGGAAATTTTCCACGGAGGTACTTGAAAGCTGCTTGTGTTTTGTCCATGGCCTTGACAAAGTTCTTCATCAGACCCAGCTTGATGTGTAAGGGTGGTAACAAAATCTTCCTTGATTCAACAAGTGGTGGATGCTGAACACTTTTCCTCCCAGGCTCCAATGACTGTCGGAGTGGCCAATCTATGTTGATGTAGTGGGAATCTCTTGCATGACTATCCCATTCGCAGAGAAAACAACAGTTCTTTGTGTATCCAGTCTGCAGACCAAGCAAGAGAGCAACAACCTTCAAATCGCCACTCGAACTAACTTAGTTCGAATGAGTTAATTCGAACTAAGCTAATTCGAACTAACGGATCCAGACTAAAAAACTAGTTCGAATTAGCATTTTGCTAATTCGAACTAGCATGTCCACATTAAGTGGACCCTGAACCGGGGTTAAGGATGGCCGGAAGCAGTGCCGGCAGGGCATCAGA